TCCGCATTTGACCCAACCCCATTGAGGGGAGCGGTGAGCTGCAGCAGTGGCTGCGCTTGGGAACTATTTGGTGGTTTAACCCCCAATCCAACCCCTTAAAGCTGAGAGTCAAGCAGGGAGGCATTGGGTCCCATTTTTAAAGTCTTTGATATGACCCGACCGGGAATCGAACCCCGATCCCAGGGTGGACACCACTAGGCCACTGAGCTGGTAATAAATACATCAGGTGTTATATTTTTGTTAAGTAATAATAACAATAACAATAATGATAATAATAATAATTTTATCTTGTTACATTTAGAAGATGAATATGTTGCAGTTGATGCTACAGATGTTTGAGGAAAGTACTAATCCTATTGAATGAGTAATAATCTGCCTGAAATTAGACTGCTGTCACTTGACATTTCATCAAGGTCTGTCCTTTTTAATACTATTTGTTTAGCTTTATAACAATTTGAATAGTTTATATATTTTCCAGAATCACTGATTTTATACAAATTCGACCAGTAATGGAAATGCGTCGTTATTTTTCTGTCGAGACAGCAAAAACGAATTAGGAAAAAGTCCTCCATCTATGACCTACTACTATATATTCCAATAGACTTTAAACATGTGAAGTGATAATGGTGGAAACGCTGATGCTTCATATTTATTCATCCATGACCCTGAAACCAGTAGGCCCAGTTATAGCTCCTGTGCATAATAGAGGGAAACAATTCAAATGGTTACAAATGGCCTTGAATGTTCTTTACATGGCTTCAGGCCTGCTGGTGCATTCTGGGTAAAAGCTTCCACTAGTTGAAGAGTGAATGGTAAATAATGGAACAAAGTAATTGCCCTTTGCAGACAATAATACCTTTAGATAAATATTTCAACAAGGCAAATTGTAGAAGACTTGTAAAAGGTTTTATTGTACTGATGGAATATCGTAAAAACAGACGAATAAAAAAGAACAAGCAAGAAAATATCCTCCTCTAAAGCATCAATATTTTACATGTCCTCAGGTTAAAGGCTTGTATACCGCTGAAGAAAGTCTGATCTAGCCCATGTTCTCCTGTAGGTCGGTGGTCAGGAAGGGAGTGAAGGAGAGCCAGAGACATGGTGATAAAGGCTTGGGAGGAACGCATTGTACTGTTCAAATACACTTTGTATGAAAAGATGAATTGATCCATCTGTAAGCAGCACTTAGACCCACTCCTCTGCCCGGTCATTACACTGGGATAAATCAATATTTAATATCCCCCCTCTAACAGCCACACTGAATGATCTTAACCTCTCCTTAATCCCATTTATGTTACGTTCCAGAATCTTCTTCATGTAAGCGCTCACTATGATAAACTTCCAAACAAGAGACTGGGAGGGTAGCTATTAAAGACCACACCATATTTATGTCAGGTGAGGCGCTTTCTTAAAATATTAATATTCGGAAACTGACTAAAGTGAAAGCTTTTATCTGAGGCATTCAAGCCGTTCTGGTTGGCAGGCTTGTTGTATCAGCAAAAGACGCTCTTTCATTTTACAGCTGAATTACAACGAACTGCATTTTCAGTTTTACAACCTAAACGATGAAGGTGTTGAGGCAACTCTTTTAGCTGATTTAATGAAGCCTCCCTCTCTAATATCACCTCATCGTGACAGGAGCACAATCACTAAATAAAGGCATGACAATACCTTCACTAGAAAGTCAATCCCAAACGAGTGAAAAAATACCGTATTCTATTCAAGGAGGACCCTCCCATCCTCCTCCAACACAAAGACACAGAATTTTTTTTCCCTCAAGTGGCAAACAGCAGTCAAAAGTAGATTCCAGGTGAGGAGTGACTGACTCTATTAAGCAGAAGATCCCTTAAGAAAGAAACAGAAAAAAAGACAGGAATTTTTCTTCTCTAGGATGACTGCTTGAACAACGGTTCGACATAGCCCGAGTCTAAAATCCTACGAAAACAAATCGAAGCTCACAAAAGAGTAAGCTGGGAGTGAAGAATAAAAAAGAAAGGGCGCTAAGCTCTACTTACTGAGAACAATGATGGTGGAGGTGTGCTGTTTGTGGAAAATGGCATTGTTCAGCTATTGCATTCATGTCGGGGCAGATTTGACTGCTTGGTTGACCAGGCACACCTTAGCTGTGAGGATAGGAGACAGCTGTACCAACTCCCATGACTCAGAATGAAAAAAGCCAACGCTGAAAGCTTTAAACTTTCCGTTTACACAAGAGGTCAGATGTTGGGGATGATGTTACATCCAAATATACTGTTTTCCAGTAACAATGTAGAAAATTAAGGGGATTTGCACAGTCGTTGTGCTCAATGACCAGGCTAACTTCTACATGACGACATGTTCTGCACTTTACCGTTTCAAACCCAGTAGGCACCTTCTCATTAGTAGAGGTGATGTGTGGTCAAATGCTTTTAAGGGATTTCAAACCAACAGAAGTGCAACTGAATGGTTTGTTCCTGCAGCTACCACTCTGAGGGTGTGTGTGTTTGGGGGGGGCTCTTGGGGAAAAGGTTCAAAATTGGGTGTAAAGATAACAGAAGGATGGCGGGGCGGCCCTACAGGTGGTTTGTTGTGGTCGTTGCAGCGTTAAATGGGGATTAGGGTTAGAGTAAAGATTTCCGGTTATCAATACATCTACGTTCCTGTTGGATAATATGTGGTGGTGACGGTGGCACAGGAGTTAGGTGCTTGCCCCGTAATCAGAAGGTTGCAGGTTCGAGCCCCACTCAGTTTGTCGCTGTCGTTGTGTCCTTGGGCAAGACACTTAACCCACCTTGCCTTGCCTCAGCAGCCTCTCCTCTGCCAGGGCAGCTGTGGCTACAACGCAGCCCACCAGGGGTGACTGTGTGTGTGAATGGGTGAATGACTGATTGTGTTGTAAAGCACCTTGAGGGGTTCAATATCACATATAAGCCTTTTTTTTAATCATGTGTTTTCTCAGACCGCGGAGTCTCTTCACTTGATGTCACTCAGCTTTCTATCAGACCGTGTGGAAAAATCTGTCCAGCTTAACGACGTCAGCACTGTTTTCTCCTTCACTTCAGATTAGCACTCAAATAATAATCACAGCTTTTCATGTAGAATAAGACATGACACACACCCACGTCCTCACACAAGTCTTTGTACCGATTCGATAGAAACTAACCACGTCACCAAGTAGATGGGGCCGAGCTAAGAATAAAAACAAATGTTTGAGAAGATTCGGGGCCCTTTAGACTGACTACCACAGGGGTTGGCTTCAGGGGGTCAAGGTGTGTTATTCGTGCCATTTTTCTCTGCTTTTTCCATTTCAGCCTATTTTCAGCAAACCTAGCAGAGTTAGAGTATGACCAGTCTTCCTTAGAATCAGGACAGAAAACGTCCACTAGCTGGAGACGATCTAGCCAAGAAAAGAGCTTTCTACGACACGTAAACAACATCAAATGGTGCCGAAACCCAGTATCACATGTGGAGATTTTCAACTGGAGCTGCATCTCTTGAAGAAGAAAGATTCTGGTACACTGTGCTGTTGATTAAAGGAGCAAAGTGCTAGCCGTGGCGTGGGAACCCTCCAGGTGTTTTGTTGTGGCTGTCGGGGAGTTAAACTGGGGATTAGGGTTAGGGTTAAGATCTCAATTTACCTGTAAATCTGTGCTCCAACGTTACCCTTTTTTCTAGAGCTTGGTGGAATTAATGAAAGAATTGGATCACAAATACAAGTGACCAAAAAGAGTTTGCTTTTTATGGTGGCCAGGTTCAGCCTTAGAGACAGAAAGAGGAGATTAAACATCTGTGAGTGAGCTGTTACTCCTCCATGTCCAGAGGAGTCAGCCGACATGGTCTGGGCATGTGATAAGGATGCTCCTTGGATAACTCCTTGAGGAGTCGTGTTGGCATGTTCGTTTGGGAGGAGACCCCATCGCCAACCCAAGATGCTGGAGGGGTTATATCTCTTAGCTGACCGGGGAACACTTTGGAATCCCACCCAGGGAGATGGGGAGAGGAAATTCTTGTTTTTTCTGCTCGGACTGCTGACCGCACCACCCAGACCCAAACAAGCCACAGAAGACAACATCAGACAACAACTGAACAAAGTTGTCCAAATCTATTTATAAATTCATTCAAAAGTGTTTTGGAACTTTGTTTTAGTATTTATTTAAAGTTATTGAACAAAAATTAGTAAATGGATTGAGTCCTAATCGTATTTGTGGCTGTGTAAGGAAAGAGGCTTCATCTCTGCCCTCTCTCTGGGCTGCACCGATTTATGTGCTTCACTTTAGTAAGAGCATAGTTGATTGCCACCTGCAACGACAGTAATCTCTTCCAAACGCCAAATTAGGAAGAAATCAAAATAGATATTCATAGACTTTTTTACATATACATTGACCTAGTTGAGGGTGTTGGTTGAAAGTGTCAGGTGCTGAAATATTAATGAGCATCGCTCCCAGTTTCTGCCTGCTCCTCACAGCCAACTGGCAACATGGCATCAAGCTGAAGAGAAGAGGACAGCTTTTTTCTTTCCTTGATTGACTCATCGATTGAAGATATTTTTAAAGAGAATCCCTGGGAGTGTGTGCTCCCGGTACAAAGAAGCCCCATCCCGTGTCAGGGGACGGAGAGGGCTGCAAGTCGGCTTTAATTGGGCAAAGACTTCAGAGTTTTCTTAACCCACACCGGGCACTGCCATGGCCTGTCACGGCCCTCACACCAGCATAAACAACGCAGGAGCCTCTGAGCCTGCACACTTGAACATATTCATGATAGTTGGAGTAAACACACGTGTGCACGCTGAACTATGCCAGCTCTTATCAATGCGACCACCCTGGATGCTGATTAAAGAAAATCATTGGTCTTAAAAAATGACTGCGGCATTAAAATGTTCCACTTTCTTGCATAGTTTCTTCCTTCAACGCCCCCAACCAAAGAACTGAGCGCTCTTGTGATTATTTTTTACTTTAGTGTAACATCCAAGTTTAGAGAATACCTGAATCAGGGATAACTCAATCGAACCAAAGGACCCTGACCTTGTCAGCTCTGCAGTTGTTGAGGCCCACAGAACTCAGGGCAGACAGCTTTGCATCCATGCCCTGCTGGTGATGTTGCAGCTGCTCCCTCTGGATCTGCTCCCTCATTTTGCGAGCCTCCTGGATGGCCTTCATCACTGTGTCTTGATCTCCAAACAGCGCAGTGGAGTTTAGGCTGGACAAAATATCTGTGTGCACACATGGCAAAATTAGAAAATGGCACTAGGCAGAAACACAGAAATGCCACACTTTTTGATGAAAGCATTTTAGGGTGAATGTTGAGGTCTTACCGAGAGAAGAACCCCGGCCGAGGCCTCCTCCAAGAGGACTGGGGATGCCGCCTTTACTGAGGAGGCTGTTAGGACTGCTTTTGCTGCCATGAAACAGGTTGGACGTTGGGGATGTAGGCGATTTGACCATTTCTGTCGTTTTTGGACGAGCAGACAGGTTGAGGGGCTGTGTTCCTTCCTCCTGTGGCAGTAAAGAGAAGGGAAGGAAAAAAAGACGGATGTGAGCGGATCCCTCTTTCTTATTTGTCTTGGAGGAGCTTTGGATTCCCATGAATCACCGCTCGTCTCTCTCTCTGATTAATTACAAGATCCTGACCAACAACTCCTTCCCAATTCTCCGTCTTTTTGTCCGTCTCCCCCGTCTGTTCTCTTCTCCTCTGCGATCTTCCTCACAGTCGTCCAGTGCCTTTGTTCGCACTAATTAAAGCAGATTCTGTCTCTCTGCACATCTTCATCTGTTCTGCCTCTCCTCCTCCCTGCTCTGTGTCTGCACTCCGGTTCGAAGAATAAATAATGACCAGATAACAGCGGTGGCGATGATCAAAGACAGCTGTTCCATTCATCGGATGTCGACTTACATTATCTACTTCATTAGCTTGTTTTCTAATTTCATTCCTCATTTGTGCATACTTGGGTTTTATCTTGTGCTTTGATATGCTTATTCATAAAAAAGTATAAAGTGCGGTTAGGTTTTTAAAATAAGCTTAGAGGAGGATACTTTTTTCTTTGTGGTATCTGAAGCACTTTAAAGCGTTATTGTCTACGTGGCCGTTTTAACCTGTAGATCTCTGGTTTCATCCAGGTGCACCAAGGGCCTACACAGATTTTTAGTAATGCTTAAATGTAAAATCAATAAATGTAACATTTCAGCAAAAATTGTACAACGTTATAATACATTTGATCATTTAGACATAAAAACATTTATTACATTGGCTTAAGCATGACGAATGCTGACTTTAGGTAGAATGTCGAAAGATTTGCATCCCAGAAGTAGAACATAGACGTGTCTCCGTACACAGCAGATTAAAGCCCTTGTTGCCTTTTTTTTTTTTTACTGGGAACCCAAGTGTCTCCTTGTCCAAACATATGGCTGAAGCACGGAGTGGCCCGAGGCCTAGCGCTCACTGTGCCAATAACAGTTTGTTATGCGGTGAAGCTGAAAACACACAAACAAAACTGAGGGCAATATGATTCCACTGGAGTGTGGACAGAAACAAGAGGATGCCAGTACATGTTTGCCAACTATTTAATAATTAATCATTTATTTTTTTAATATACTAGTTTTGGTGGTAAATAGATAGTTAATAGTTTAATGCAAATTGTAATTTGTTAGAAATAACCAGAATGAACAATACTCAGATCAATTCTGTGTGTGTGTGTGTGTGTGTGTGTGTGCGCGTGCGTGCGTGCGTGTGTGTGTGTGCGTGCGTGCGTGCGTGCGTGCGTGTGTGTGTGTGCGCGCGCGCGTGCGTGCGTGTGTGCGTGCGTGTGTGTGTGTGTGTGTGTGTGTGTGCGTGCGTGCGTGCGTGCATGCGTGCGTGCGTGTGTGTGTGTGTGTGTGTTTGGAAGCAAGTGAGTGAAGAAAAGCTGGAGTGTTTTCCCACCATGATTTATGGCGTTTCTCCATTGTGATATCATTAAACTAAGCTGCTTCAATAGGACATATGTTTCTGATTTTGACTTAAGTGAGTGAGAATGATGAATGCGTCCGTTTCTTTGTGTGGAGGTTGAGTGGAGTCATGCCACACAGCAGCAGAAAACACATCCTGCTTTTGGTTTATTTACAGGCTGAAAAAACTTTCTGAAAAACGTGTCGAGTCGACTTTATGTTCCATTTTTGTCAGCAGCTGTATGGTGTTGTCATAACGGCTTTATTCCTTTTTTAGTCACGTAAAACCCCCCCCAAAAAAAAGAAAAGACAGACTTTTCATTGTGGAAAAGAACATGCCACCGCTATGGCAACCATGCCCACAGAGTTCTGGTAAAGAGAGAAGAGGCCTTGCTTAAGCTCCAGAGATTGATGGCCTTTGGGAGGCTGGGCTCACCACCGGCAGGTCGCAACACTGTAGTAGTGAACGTTGTAATGCTAGTTTATTCAGACAACACCGTCCAACTAAGCTGGGTCAAGTACCACTCAAGATTTAGGCTGTAAGAGAGCTGGCTAAAGGAACTGAGGGTTGTACCTTGACTTGAGTGATGGGGCTTGAGGAACTCTTGTCATTCTTTAGAGATGAAGGAGAAATCGGCCCACTAGAGTTGAGGGACTGTGGCAGAGGAGGCATCTTGGCTCCAGGAGACACCTGCATGCTGGCAAGCTGGGCGGCATACAGTTGCTGTTGGGGGGGTAGAAACCATCAAGGCGTTAACATCCAAATCCAGCATTCATTCAAAGTTTTACATTCTGTCTTTTCCTCTCCCTAGAACTCTCTCTGCGTCTCTGTCTGCCTTCATCACCCCCTCCTCTCTTATTTTCTGCGTCTTTCCTCTCTTTCCATGGCTGGCAGCAAGCCCCCATCAAAGGTCTTAACTGTATTTCAAAGGCTGAGCCCAGAGAGAGACAGCAGTCTTAAAAACCATACAGAGATGGCATTCACTCAAAACTACTTGGAGCCCCTATTTTCCACTCATCACAGAGAAAAGTTTGCCGCCTGGATGCAAGTGTGTTAGCACAGATCTACACAGCTTCCTCTTCAAGTGTCTGGCTCGTGATTTGTCTCCACATAGCCATCAAAGGCACCCTCGTTGCACTGGAGACTCGCTTGTCACTACCGCTGACTGTACTAAACAAACACGTTGTGTGTCTTAAAGAACATGTAAAAGACGTCTAATGGAAACCAAAATTAGATCAGCAACAGTCTGAAACCAGGTGGGACAGCAGTAGGCTGAATCCAAGGTGTGAGATTCTGCATTTGAAGGTTAGTGTTTAGAGATGAAATCAAGAGTTTGGGTGTTGTTGAAATAAACAGCCCTAATCTACTGAGTCCAACTGGATTAATGTCATTTTTGGACCCATTTCTAAACCTGCAGAGCTCATCAATAGACCAGATTTTGTCAGTCGCAGCCCATTTATCTAAACTGAATGGGTACATCTAGACTTTCACAGCTGTCTTCTGTTCAAATCACCCATGAAAATGTTATTTCACATTTAACCTCAGACCTTTTGTCAGACAAAAAACTGAATCCTACCCATCAAATAATCAGTTTGTTGTGTTGTTTTGCAGATGGTCAAAAAGTCACCGAGCTCATCGTGTGCGCCAAATAAAGCACCTTTATGTCCATACACATATCTCTAAATATAAACGCACATGTCCTCCTCTGAGAAACTTTATCGCTGCCACATAAGCAGCAGTACAAAAGGTCCATTCTTCCAGGGGACCCAGGATCAACAACAGCACATGGGCAGCGGAAATGACAGACTGATTATGTTCCCACAATGATAGCGCTGCCCCCACCTCCTTCACAAACAGTCTTTTGTTTTAGAAGGGAGACACAGGAACTGACCAAACTCCATCAATATCCCAGCTAGACTTGGTTAATATCAGTGGTAAAGCCAACTGGAGCATATAGGGGAGGTGAGAAAGTGAGACAAAGAACGACGGAGGGGTTTCCAGTCAATTGCTGTGACTTCAGGCAACATGGGAGTCTATGCAGACGTCTGCTGGACAGATGGTTGCTAACTGGCTTGTTGATGGGCATAGCTCTGATCTTGAGTAGGAAGGCCTTTATTGTTCCGGAAAAAGAACACAGAGACTTGAGCTTAAACTGCACGCTGTCGCTGATTGGCAACTCAGTGTTGCAGCTTGAGGATTAATGACCAGGAACTCTTCAAGACCCAAAGAACAATAAATACAATCAAGAGGACTGATTGATCTATAAAACTGCTCAAGAACAAAAGAAAGTGTTAGTCATCGTTGGAAACTTGGCAAACACTGGTCAAAAGTGAGATAAATATTCATTGAATTTTACGTGGACATCTAAAAACCTGACTTTACATAAATAAATTCCTGCTGATTGTAGCAATCAATAGATTTTGATGTGTGTTGTGTAATTTGTACAAGATTCAATGGTAAAGGGCTTGTATTTGTATAGTGCCTTCTTAGGGTTCTACAACCCCCCAAGGTGCTTCACAACACAATCAGTCATTCACACGCACATTTACACGCTGGTGGGAATTAGCTACGATGTAGCCACAGCTGCCCTGGGGTGCACTGACAGGGGCGAGGCTGCCGAGCACTGGCGTCACCGATCCCTCCAACCACCATCAGCTGGCAAGGCGGGCTAAGTGTATTGCCCGAGGACACAACAGCAGAATTCTCTGGTCGGAGCCGGGACCTGAATTACCGGACAACCCGCTCTACCTCCTGAGCTACTGCTGTCCCAATGTTTAAAGTAACACCAGATATTGTTTTTAACTTTAAGCTAGATCTTTAAAGTTGATCTCAGTGGTTGTTGTGTTAGAAACTTGATCAGTTTCATATTTGACACCACTCTGCTGCCCTCTGCTGACTGAAAACCACATAAGATAATTTTGTGGAGCAGGTAGGTGTCCTAGGGGGCGCTCTTTACCTGATTTCCAGCTGTTAGATGTAATACTAGCTAATACTAGCGGTTAGCATTTTCAGTTTGCCAATTGTCAATAAAAAGCACAAGAAGATGAAGAAAAAGAAGTTTGCTATCTGTTGGAATCATAGCGAAGCCTGGAAGTAAAAGTAAGAGAGTAATGTCTTTGGAGGTGTGGCCTACGCTAGTTTGAGGAAGCTACAGTAGAAAAACCACAGACTGTTGTTGCCCTGGCTTTGTTGTTACTGGACTTGTAAGTAATACTATTTTTTGTGGATATTTTTACTCAGTGGTTATTTTAGTATTAGTTGGCTCATGCTAGGGGCTGCATGACTTAATTTTTTTAAAAGTCGACTGTCAAGTAATGAAAATCGAGTCGACTTTGACTAGTCGTTGATGACGTCATTCACCTGAAGCAGCACGGGGGGGTCGGTTGGTTCGCTGGAGTTTTTTTTTTTTTGGCAATTGAAATTGTGCCCACATTTTCAAAGTTAAACACATTTTTTTTAACAACAGTAGTTTCTGCTTCAGCCCTCTCCCCCTCCCCCTGCGCAGCGGCCGCAAACTCACCGGAGCGCCTGCAGCCTCTCAGAGTTCCTGCTGTTCTAAACATTAAAATGATTATTTCATTTTCTGTTCCTCACTTCTGATTACCTTCAATGGTGTCTGATTTTTGCAACCACCAGGTACAAAAACTAACTTGTTTTTATTTGACTATTTTTCTGTCCTGCCTGTTTATTATCTTCCTGCATCTCCTCTCAATCCTAAAGAAAAACTGCTACCTGGGTTCATATATATTCACCTCATGAGTTACCTTTGAACGCAGATGTCTGGAGCGCGTCAACGATCAGAGCTTTGCATCCGCACGCTGGTTAAGGTTAGGATGCGGGTGAGGGGAAGGTTAAATTGCAAGAGGGTAAAGGTCACAATTTGGTCAAATGTCCGTTTTACGGCGGGTGTCAGTACCGACGCTCTGGCACAGCGCGTTGCCTCCCGACGCGCAGGAGCTTGTCACCTGCTGACAGCAGGCTGCTGTCTTTTCCGAGGACTGCATCTTGCCGGTCATTATCACGTGAAAGCGACTAGTCGATGACAGGCATTAAAAGTCACTACAGAGCAGTGAGGTCGACTAGTTGACTAGTTGATACAACCCCTAGCTCATGCTAGCGTAAGCTCGCTGTTAGTGTTAGCTACAGCAGGGTTGTTTACGATAGTTGTAATTTCACGTTCAACCTGTGGGGCGGAGGAGCTAGTAACTGCTCTGTGTTACTTAAAAAAATCAGTAAATGTATTACAAATGTATTTTGGATTCATAATTTCACCTCTAAATTGTTGTAAAAAATAAAAAATAAACCAGTACTCCTCACCCAGGCCTCATTTATGTGGCTTTTATATTATGAGATCTTGTTAGGCAGAAGCCATTAATAATAAAAGTTGACAATTGCTCAAGTTCCATATGGGATTCTTACAGCCTGCTTATGCAAGGTGTTTTTTTTTAATATGCAGCATCTTTTTATTAGTTGGACACGTGCACAAGGTCAGATATAATCTTCAGAAAGCTGGAGTAAAATCTAGGATCATTTTCAAAATGAGACTACTTGACTCCCAAGACTGAAGACATCTGTCTGCATAACTTAGTTGACTTTCTTCCATTTAATGACCTCTTCTTCATATCTTACTGGCCAGGTGGGGGCAGGAAAATGTTCAAGGTAATAAGGGTCGACCTGAAAGTCAATGCTCTGACTCCGGGGAGAAGTGTGGGAAGCGTTATTAGAGCTCCAAAATATTTCTGTCTCTGTTTCTTTTGTCAATAAAAAAGGTGTGCGTACACAATTTTGTAATCAGGTAACATTAGCACCTCTTGGCATTGAGTGGGATACACACAAACACAACTATTAGGGTTATTTCGTCGACCCCATCATTCCCTGTTTCCCAGTAGAGCATGACAGATCTCAGCAAGCATGGATTCAAAGTGAGTGCAACACCCAAGGTCAGCCTGTTAGCCCCAGGTAATTAAAAACGAGTCCTCCAGAGGCAGCAGAGGTTAAACGGGAAGGTTCACTTTTCATCCTGTGACATTAAACTGAGATAGCTCACTCTGCTGATGATGTGACGCATACCAGGTGTGTGATGTTTGATTAGAAAGGGCCACCTTTGTTTTTTATTAAAATAGCAGGGCTGATAATTTAGTAAACATCACACTATATTCAAATGTCCATTTGACCTTATTCAAACAGGCTTTTTAGTACAACAGGAAGAGAAGAAAATTAAAACAACTTTGCAGCAACGCCGTAAAGTAAAGTGGCAGCGGGCATGCTGGAAGAAAGGCAATGTTTGCATGTGCAAAAATATAATCTTTTAACATATCCTCGTGTCTTTATGTGTCTGCCTGCATGTCGGTGTCTCGCTCACCTCTGCTCAGCCCGGACACTGAGCAGTAGACTGGATCTGAGGGCATTAACTGTGCTTCAGTGCACCACACCATTTAAAAGGCAGCACAGCGCCAGCCCCGTTTGCCACAAGGCTTGTACAGGCTCATTGCCCAGGGCGACCATGCAGGCTGACCCAGGCTAGGCCCAGATGTCAAGAGTGGAGGAAGGCGCCCTGGTGCACTGTGCCGATGCTTTCCAGTATGGCTCAACATCTGTTTCATCTGCTGGCACCCAACCTGCTCCGCGCCGACCCCCCCTCCCTTCTCACGCCTCATTTTGGTCCATCGTACAGCTGCTGTATATTAAATAAATATAAAATTTTCTTAGCAGCTCTTTGGCGT